TGTATCTACCAGTTTGACTTCACCTGCGGAGCCAGCTACGTTGGGCGTACAATTAGGCAGGTTCATTGTCGTATTTCCGAACATCTTCCGGCATGGTTAAGCAAAGGACAGACAAGATCTATTCGTAGCTCTATTGTAGCACACACTGTGGATAGTGAGCATAAGATTGACGTTAATACAGCATTTAAAATTATCTATCTCATTCCTACTAATCTTAATTTTGCTCTACGAGTTCGTCTTCTACATACAGTTGAAGCAATAGGAATCCACCTGAAGAAGCTAGCCAAACCTGTGTGTTCAGAAGAAATTTGTACAGCCACTTTCCTTACCTTGGCCATAGTTACCTGAATGTATTGTCCGAATTGTTTTATTTAATTTTTCTGACCACTTCATCTTTAATTACGTGTTATCCTTGTAAAATTAATTTATTCTAACCATTTCTACCTTTTAATTGTGTGTATTGACTTTCTCCGTTAATTATCAACCCATTGACATTTTGGCACTGACTAATTATTGTTAACAAAAATATCAGTGCCACTTGATTTGTAAACTCTTGTGTATTGTAATAAAAAGTGCTATAGGTGTATATTAGAGTAGAGCCAGAGAGAGATGAGGATCTAATTGAAAAGTAAATATTTCTTCGGTCAGTCTTTCTGTTTTCAAGGGTTGGTTTATGTATGATAAATTCGACCAGAAGATATACTGAAAGGCTATATTCATCGGTCTGCAGATTTGATGACATAAATGTTAATTGCAATCAACAGAACAACTGTGGAAGGTCTCATCAGTTCAGCTGTAAGGATTAAAATGCTTCTGTATGCAGTTCAAATCCGTTAGTTGTTGCAATTTTAGTTTTAGAACAGAGTTTGCACTAATGGCTTGATCCATAATCATTAGTGTATATATTGATTCTTCAAGTGGCTACCTGAATGATTAACCAATTCAACAAGTGATTACCTCATCAACATGGAACTTTTGCACGAAACCACATCAGTTCAAGAAGTTTTGGGTCAAAAAGCCTACGTCTCAAGGGAATACGTGTTTTCAGGAGTGCCCTATTACCAGGCATCTCCTTCATTTGAGTCATAAGGTGGATATCACGAAATCCTTTACAATTATCGAAAGACAAAAAGCTCATTCGACTCAAATTTCCCGAAGCAACCTCTATCAAATGCCTGAGAACCGATTTATGGATTCAGGAAGAAGCAGTTGTCAGGTTTTCGTTGCCCTGGTAATTGGATGTCTTCACTCTCTTTTTTTTTGGTTGACTGCGTAATCTCCGGCTTTAAAGTCACCCCCTCCCCTTGATAATTTTGCCTGTCTTCAACTCACTACACTGTTATTCGTTATCTTACTCACCACTCGTCTTTATTACTTAACTACATTTTCATTATATCTATGCATTGATTTTTGTTTAAACTTGAACTCTCTGGTAAAGATTATATGAGTGAAACTTTCTGAGCACTTTTCGTTAAGTTTGGAGCCTGCTATCAGCTGACATCATGTAACATTTGCAAGTAAACATTTGGAAAACAGAAAGATTGAGCGAAGAAATATTTACTTTTCAATCAGATCCTCTTCTCTGGCTCTACTCTAATATATATAGCATTTTTACAATACACAACAATTTACCAAACAAGTGTGTCTACCAGTTTGACTGCAGCTGTGGAGCCAGCTACATTGGGTTTAAAATTAGGCAGTTTCATCGTCGTATTTCTGAACATCATCCAGCGTGGTTAAGCAAGGGACAAACAAGATCTATTCGTAGTTCTATTTTAGCACACCTTGTTGATAGTGAGCACAAGGTTGATGTGAATACTGCATTTAAAATTATTTATCGCATTCCGACTAATCTTAACTTTGCTCTACGAGTTCGTCTTCTACAGATAAGTGAAGCAATCGGAATCCACCTGAAGAAACCAAGCCTATGTGTACAGAAGAAATTTGTACAGTCACTTTCCTTACCGTGGCCATCGTTACAAGACAGGACTACGTCACCCTCCTCCCCCTATTAAATTATAATTGTCCAAATTATTTTATTTTAATTTTATTTGTTTTGACCACTTCATCTTTAATTACGTGTTATTCTTGTAAAATTAATTTTTTCTATCTATTTTTGCTTCGGTGGTATAGCGGTTAGGACGCTTGCCGACCATACAAATCGTCCGGGGTTCGATCCCCGGCCGACGCACTCCTTTACCTCGCTAAGCTAGAAATAATGCTGGTAAAGAGGAAAGTTTGGGCGTCAGGCTAGCAACCCTATCCTGTAAAATAAACACTGCTACAGAAACTTCAAGCCACTAGGTTGAAGCCCTATGTTCCACTGGGAAAGTGAAGGAAAAAAATTTCTACTTTTTAAAGTGTATTGATTTTCTGCGTTAATTATCAACCCATTGACATTTTGACAGTGTTTAGTTATTGTTAACAAACATATCACCACTTCTTTGGTAAATTGTTGTGTATTGTAAAAATGCTATATATATTAGAGTAGAGCCAGAGAAGAGGATCTGATTGAAAAGTAAGTATTTCTTCGCTCAATCTTTCTGTTTTCCAAATGTCTAAATGGGGATATTTTCTATAAAGTAGACATTTGTAAAAAATTCTGTTTGTGAAATCTCAGCATTGAATTGAAATGATTAATTCCAACGTTTCGTCCGGCAATCTGTTCCGAACTTCTTCGGTAAAATCTCAGCGAAATATAATTTTTTTTACAAATGTCTATTTCTCACTCAGCACCCAATTATCTTGGAACTATTCGGTCAAATCTTGATCACAGTTCCCATGAATTTGCAAGTATGTTAAGTACATAAACTTAGTAGTTTCATCTAGGCTGTAAGCAGCTGATGAGAAGCCAACGAAATAAACAATGATGGTACCATCACCTTATTCTGCAGAGACTGCCGCTCTTGCTTTATTCAAAGTCCTAATTTTGTAAAGCACCAAGTAAAGTAGAGGAAAACAATTCAATGAAGCTGCAATAGACGAAGATGCACAGGGAACGGAATTATTATGCGATGAGAGTTAAGACTTCAAGTGACTCCCGACTTTTACCTAAATCTCTTCAGATATCGTACAAATAAGTAATACAGAGCTTCATGCTAAACTTAATCTTTTCCACCTATCTAAAACCAGAATATTAGAAACATTAGTCGTGTAATCTTACCGAATGCCAATTCTGAAGCAAAAAGTGACTGATTTTTTCAATCGTCAACCTGAATATGCTTTGCAGGAGGGTTCAGGAAACAGTTGTTTCTAGAAGGTTACAGAAAATCTGTTGTGAGTTAGAGTCAAACAGCTGTCAACCAGTATTAAGTGAGACTCCTTACGACTTTACTTTTAACATCTGATATTTTATCTCATAGTTTAATGTCCACACCATTCAACAATACGGCTATCAGCCGATTAGTGCAAACCGTAAAAAAGCATAAACTGATGGTTATTACGTAATTTGCTTTTGCTCAAAGATTTCCTATAAAATTCCATCTTACATTATTGACTCCTTTTATGCTCTAAGCTTTCACATGATTTATGAGTAATTATCCATATTATTCATGGTGTGGTGTGTGCTACTGACAAGATTTATCAGTAGCATAAAACGCGAAAGAACCTTGAAGACCTGGATTTCGCGGATGATTGATGTTTGATGTCACACAAAATCGAAGACTTACAAACGAAAACCGACTAACTGATTGAAGAAGTAGCAAAGACAGGACTCCAGGTGAACATAGAGAAGACAGAGGTTATGAAAATAACCAACCAACAACAACAGCAGCAGCAACAACATCCAGAGCCAATCATCATCAACGGGAGGGATTTGAAAGAGGTTACTTCTTTCACTTATCTAGGGAGCATTGTCTCAACTACAAGAGGAACGGACGAGGATGTCAAATCGAGAATCGGGAAGGCGAGAAACACATTCATCAACCTGAAATCAATCTGGAAATCTCCGTCACTCAACTCACCATCAACAACAAAATCCGGATTTTCAATACAAACGTCAAGTCAGTCAGTTCTTCTATACGGATGGATCAGAAACTTGGCGGGTCACAAAGAATATTTCCAACAGCCTGTTGCAGACCTTTATCAACAGCTGTCTTCGCTGGCTCTATACTGAAGATCAAATGGCCGGGAAGAACAAGAACCAACAAGAAACTATGGGAACAAACAAAACAAGAACCAATAGCTCAACAAATATGCAGGAGAAAGTGGAGTTGGATTGTACACTCGCTGAGGAGGCCGCTGGGTGACATCGCCCGTCAGGCCATCGCTCGAGTGGAACCCGAAAGGGAAGCGGCGAGTGGGACGTCCAAGGGTGACATGGAGGAGTTGAAACAGTATGGACTAACATGGATGCAAGTGAAAAGTACAGCAGAAGACAGAAGCAAGTGGAGACGTGTAGTAGAAGCCCTATGTTCCACTAGGAACCCAAGGGAACAATAATAATAATAATACAACGAGAATTTCAATTCAACACAAAAATATCAAATAACACAGAGATAGATTTCACATCGAAGAGAGGGAATGAGTCAGGGTTGCGGCAAAACACGGGAGACACGGAAAGAAGATAAGGCAACACAATACGATAGGCAGAATTAGCACATCGGAGAAGATCTATGCAAATGACAGTTTTCAGATAAGGTGTGCATACTTTCCCTACATAATATGGATATTAAATTTCAAGTAAACACTCTTTTGCCAAGTCTCTTGTTTTCTGCCCTTCCGATGGTAGTCTATTCTACTAAGAATATGGTCTTTATAATGTCATAATAATAATAATGAGATGTTCAAAATGAAGCCGAGATATTCAAAGTTAGTTCTCTTCACCACTGTTATGTTGATATTTAACATAGTTTATGGATGTATTTTAGGAAATTTAAATTACCCGGTTGATCTAAATAACCACCTTTAATGACTTTGTTCGAAGATTCCAGTAAAATCACTTTCAACAAAAAGATCAATAAACATGCGGAAAAATTCTATAAAGTCGTAATGAAACTTACTGTTTATTGTTTGCTTTGATAGACATTAATGGTGCTGATATCCTTCTGAAGAGGAGAAAAAGACATAATTAAAACGCCAGATTAGAAATGACATTACACTAGCGGAACTTTTAAACAAAGAAATATATTTGTTAAGAGAAAACAAATTTCCAAAGTATTGTAAGCTGTAAAAATACTTTATTCGATCAAGTTAGCATCGCTGTGGTGCAGTAATCAATTTCAACGCTTTTATTCCTTGCCGAGTCGATTTCACCTGTGTAATCATAAAAAGTCAGAAAAGCGTGGCATCGGACTTCTAAGTGATATCCATTCCCATAGCCTAATGTGTAAGGGAGCATATGTTTATCAAGATTACCAGTGAAATGTTTACTGTTGTCACCCATTAGGCAGGTAAACGCTAATCTCTCCTTCCTGGCGTAAGTTTAGAAGTTGGTCACTGTGGAATGTCTTTCCTAGCATTCAGTAATTCGCGATCATTATGAGTTGTCATTGGTGAGTTACTATCCATCGACACATCCATTCCGTTTAATTTTTTTCTAGTTAGGACGTTTAATAGTAAGGGAAGTGGTAAGTATCCGAAGACACGTCAAGCAGCTGAGGTTGCAATAAGGAAATTATGGTGACATATTTGGACTGGAAAATATCTGTCTACGGAAAATTTGATTTGTTTCGCCAATAGTGGTGAGCGTTAATTACAAACATTCAAAGTGGCACATAGTTCAAAGTGTTGGAGAAGATTTGATGTAATTCTACTGTACTAGCTGATTGATGAGAGTTAGAAGCCTTCAGCTAACTTCTAGACAATACCTTCACGTGTAACTTTAAGATAAAGTGAACCTTGAGAATTCTTTATGGATGTAACAACCGTCTCTCTCTCTGCGAGTGCTCAGGTGGTTGTCTGGAAAGACGATGAAGTCCCTGCTGTTAAACTATCCATCTTAGAGAATACAAATACGCCATAGTCATCCACCTGACCTAAAAAGCTTCTCCAGCATTTCATCTTACTATCAAGTAGATCTGGCTAGCTGACTTGATATGGTCGATTCTGGTGAACTGAAATGGGATTCGACAAATTATTCACGCACTGTGCATTTGATATTAACATTTCTTATAGTTCTTCCATATAGGTCAGAAACTTGCACTGCGCATCACGAAAAGCATTTCCCACAGGCCACCACAGACTTTTAAAAACAGTTGACTTTGTTGGCTCTATATTGAAGATCAAATGGATCTCCGGCCAGAAAGAATTAACAGCAAGAAACTATGTCAATGAACGAACCAGTCAAGGCCCCATTGCTCAACAAATATTTGGAAGAAAATGGAGATGGATTGAACACACGCCACTGAGGAGCCAAATGAATGACATAGCGCTCAGTGCAGGGCATCGGTCGAGTAGAACCCGAATGGGAAATGACGAGTTGGGCATTTGTCCGATGTTGACATGGGAGAGATCATGTGGAGAGGAGATAATTTAGACATTGTTCACATCTTCTTACGCTTAAACTATTAATGACATGTAAGAATACACCAATGTGTGAACGCATCCATATCCCTGGTTCTAATTTGAACAATATCAATTCAAACTGTGTATATCAAAGTGATGAGTGTGTTTGTGGAAGTAAATACATAGGTGGTACAAAAAGGCGATTGTGTACTCGCACGATGGAGCATTTGCCGAAGTGGTTGCAAAATAGCTGTAGTTAAAAAGCCAAAAACCTCAGTAACAAAGTATATTGTAGACAGCAGACATGATATTGACGCTGACTAATCATTCACTGTTGTCAGAAAACAAAAGCAAACAGGTAGGTGCTTGCAGCTGCGGAGGCTTGTGCAATTCGAGTTTATAAATAAGGTCTCTGTGTGCGCAAAAGGAAATGCGAGTCACTCTAAATCTACCATGGTAATATGTTCCACTAATTAACTGTTATTACTACTAGCAATAATACTTTATTCTCATTAGACACACGACTAACTAGTGTGACGTGTCTAGTCCTTTCTTTGGTGTTGACTGAATTCTATCAGTCAGGTTGCTTCAAGGTTGCAGATACGCCTTGCTGACAAGTGCCAACCAGCACAAAACCTGGGTCAGGTAGGGCTTCCTGCCGATTGCCTCCAACTATTTAATATCATCAAATCAATGTGCACCGTGATGTCGAGCTACCTAGAGTGATGGCCACATTGCAAAAACCTGACTAGTTACCAGTGTCCAATCAAAACACCCACTACAATCCTACAGGAGGTCAATCGCGAGCCCGCATAGCACAGTGGTAAGGTCTCTGACTGCAGCACTGGATGCGCGGGTTTGAGTCTCAGAAGAGACATGAGTTCCTTCAAGGTTGCAGAAACGCCTTGCTGACTGGTGAGTGCCAACTAGCACGAAACCTAGGCGGTGTCCACGGCTTCCTGCCAATTACCTACAACTATCTAATATTTTATTCTACCTCTTGTTATTACTATTTCTGATTCATTTAAAACTATATTTTGTTATTACCATTATCTTAAATCTCTTTTATATTATTTTCATCATTGTTGTTAGTACTATTTTTATTATCAATATTATTCAGTTGGCAGTTCTCGATATATTGTTTATTTAAGTGATGTAATTGAATCGTGATGCATTGTCATCTTAATTTTATGCCTGTGTATGTAGAGTATCCCGCTGAAGACTTGTACTGAAATTTGATGAGTCCATTAAATCCTGCCTGCTTTATTAACACCTTTTGTTGCTTGTTTTAAAATCAACCATCAGTTGTCCTCTAGATCTCAATTAAGAAGTCGACTTTATCTACATGGGTCAGACTCTGACATATATGATACTAGTTTGGTATACTTTTGACCATGAACGTTGTCTTCCAAGTCAATATTGTGCTGTCCACGTTTTTACACAATTGCTGAATGAACAGAGTTGTGACATACGATATCTTATTGTCTTTCGAAGTTTTCTTTTCATAAAGGTTGAGATTTAATGAGCTGGGTATACACAACTTAAATGGTATGATAAAGGTGGATTCAGCAAGACGACCACACGTCTTACGTTTTGAAAAAATGTAGCAAAATATCAGTTGCTTTATAATAATTAGCGGCGTACCCCAAATATTCATCAACCTTATTCAACAGCTGTACGACAACAGCACATGTCAAGTGATCCACAACGGAAAACTCAGCGAGGCGTTTGGAGTAAACACAGGAGTCAGACAAGGGTGCTTATTATCACCAATGATATTCCTAATTGTGGTGGACTGGATTATGCGTCAGACAGTGCGTGGAAACGAGAAGACAGGGATATCCTGGACCGACATGAGGAACCTAGAAGACCTGGATTTCGCGCGTGGATGATTTATGTTTGATGTCACACAAAATCGAAGACTTACAAGCAAAAACCGACAAACTGGTCGAAGAAGCACCAAAGACTGGACTGCAGGTGAACATAGAAAAGACGGAGGTTATGAAAATAACCAACAAACCAACCAACAACAACAGCAGCAGCAACATCCAGCGCCAATCACCATCAACGGGAGGGATTTGAAAGAGGTTACTTCATTCACTTATCTAGCTAGGGAGCATTGTCTCAACCACAGGAGGAACAGACGAGGATGTCAAATCAAGAATCGGGAAGGCGAGAAACGCATTCATCAACCTGAAACCAATCTGGAAATCTTCGTCACTCAGCCTGCATCAACAACAAAATCCGGATTTTCAATACAAACGTCAAGTCAGTCAGTTCTTCTATGCGGATCAGAAACTTGGCGGGTCACAAAGAATATTTCCAACAGCGTGTTGCAGACCTTTATCAACAGCTGTCTTCGTTCTATACTGAAGATCAGATGGCTGGAAAGAATAACCAACAAGAAACTATGGGAACAAAGAAAACAAGAACTAATCGCCCAACAAATATGCAGGAGAAAGTGGAGATAGATTGTACACTCTCTGAGGAGGCCGTTGGGTGACATCGCGCGTCAGGCCAATGCTCGAGTGGAACCCGAAAGGAAAGCGGCGAGTGGGATGTCCAAGAGTGACATGGAGGAGACCGTGTGAAGAAGGGTTGAAACAGTATGGACTAACATGGATGCAGGTGAAAAGTACAGTAGAAGACAGAAACAAGTTGAGACGTGTAGTGGAAGGCCTATGTTCCACTAGGAACCCAAGGGAACAATAACATAATAATTATATAATAATTAGGATATTGATTGAAAAAAACTATTTACTTAAAATTTGCGTATATCTTTCTCCGATGATATTATTTTACAACATAAGCAGACGAAATCCTTCAAATTCACTTTCAGTTATGAGCAGTGGTCAACAGTTCTTCTTTTCTAGTTTACAAGCCAAATCAAAGCTTAATCGTCAAACCTCAGAATGGGTAAAAATAGATACATCTAGCGAGAAGTCATGACCAGTGAGGTCCATCCATATGTCACGTGTGAAGATGGGTATCCCACCGACGACATTCGTTGGTGGTCGCGCTAAATCACGAATTGGTAGAAGTTAAAATTCATGAGCTGGCCATTGAATCGGGTCCCAATGGAGGAATGGTATACGAGCCAGCTTGCCTTGTAACCGGAAGGTCCTAGGTTCGAACCCTGGTGGTGACTGCGTATTGCCTATGATCCCCGAACTAGGATGAAACAGCTGTCTGGCAGTATTCCAGTGCTGGTTTTCAATGGTTCTCTAACTAATATCAATCCGTGATCAACTCGTAAGATACATCACATTTAAGATTCTAAAATGTTAGGTAACAGGTATCTCATATTTACAATTTTGCAGATGGGATTAGTGTTCGATCATTAATTCCACAAATCTGTCTTTTTTCATGACTACTGATTATATGGTCGTGATAAGTAACTGCGTTTCTCGTGGAATCAACTAAGACCAAAGGGTACTAGTTTCCAGTAGATGGCACTACAACTAACTTAATTTACAGGATTTCATTATGGGCTGTCATCGTTTACGGAACAATTGGAAAGCCAGCTGTGAGTCCTGGATAACTTTTCCGTTAGCAATTTTTAGGACTGCTCAGCACTATGCACCCACCCCAATGCCCGGGTGGTTACAAAGTGAGCTCGTAGACTGTTAGGCAGTTGGGACCCGATCCAGTGGCTAGCCCATCAATTCCAACTTCTGCCAGTACACGATATGGCGCAATCTGCACAAGTCAATTTCGCCGGTGACGAGTATTTGTCCTCACACTCAACGCTGACCAGTGGTCGTGCTATGTCGTGATTTGGGGAAGTTGGAATCAATGTGCTCGCCATTGGACTGGGTACCAGTGGCTCAACAGTCTACGAGCTCACGTCGCAACCAGATGGTCCTGGCTTTGAAGCCCAGTGGGGGAGTAATGGCGATGGGCACAAACTAAGCTGACAAAACAGGCCACACTTGTTTTGCAAGGGTAGGTGATACCGCTCAGTAGCTCAGGTTGAATAAAGTGGAAGAGAGCTCGAACCCTGATCTCATTGGCCGAAATTTCAGAACTTACTTCTAACAAGTCGGATCTATTATTAGCTCCACAATTTAAATCATTAAAAGGAAAACACATCCTTAGATTATCATCTCACCTTTGCTTAGACATATCTCTTTCCCATAATTTTCGCATTTTCATAAATCTCCATGATTTACGCATTCTAGCGAATCGTTTACGATTATTATTACGACGTTTAGGTTTTGTCTTTGACTTGGTCTTTTCATCTTGTGATGGGGAATTATTTTGATCAGTAGTATCCGAATTGTCTGTTGAATAACCAGAGTATGCCATTTTCGCTGTATATATGTATATTCTTCCTTTTCCTGCTTAAAGAATTCTAATTCACTGTGTATACGTGTGCTGAATGCTTAAAGTACGCGTTGGTCAATCACTGTTCAATGTCCAATGTTAATTAGTTAGTTAGTTAGTTTGTTTTAATTAAACAAAAGATAATTTATGGGAAATTGTGTAATATTCCTTGGCGTAGAATTTAAATGAAGAAGAGAAAATCGAGATATTCTCCTTCATTGAATTGCATTTTTAAGACGAATTCACTAACCCTGGGGTATTTATACAATTTTATAGGTTATTTCTGAAATCATTATACGTGTATAAACAAACTTTAATTCGATGTGCATCGATCAAGGTGCGTATGTACGTGTATGCATGTTCATGTATGTATGTAGGTATGTATATATGATGCCTAATGTCCTTTATCTTAAACAACTAATTAACTAATTAGTTGAAAATGGTGATACTTACATCTTACATCATATTGTACAATACTATTACTATTACTGTTATTATTATTATTGACATTATCGAATACAATTCACTGTAGGTATCCAAGATTATATATATATATATATATATATATATATATATATATATATATATATATATATAAACAAAATAAATTAACCAATTAATATAAATGACAATAATGTCAAATTCCATTCATTTTTATACATAATACGATTGTTGAAAATGTCTTTCTTTTCAATCATAATCAAGTGTTAATTGTTTAAAATTTCAAAATATAAATATGCACTATTTTCAAATAGTCGTAATACAAATAAAAGAATGTATTTTAATCTGAAATGTGTAATATAAAGCCTTAAAGAGTCTGAATGATAGTATCATATCCTAGGGTGTTTGCCAGTTTACAAATATATTGGTGTTCAGATGTACATAACGAGGACCTATCCACATTTTCTAGTTAGGAGTGAAGAAGACAATCTTAAGTGCATTTGTTAGATTTCATGAAGAACTAGGATCGATTCGAGAGATCATTGAAAGTCAAGGGGCACTGGACAACTGTTTCGTCCTACTTTAGGACTCTTCACAGTGCGGACTCAGCACTCCATTATGGATCGAACTCCGAGACTTATAGATTACCAGATCAAAGTCGTTGATCAGCTAAATCACTGACACGTGGATTGTAACTTTGTCAATTTGTGTTATACCGCCATCCTAACCAATTCCTTCAGTGAACATTCTTGCGTGACTAAAAAAACAAATAAGGCTGTCTAAGTCAATCGCAATGATGTCGTTTGGACAGGTCATAAAGTCGATTTCAGTAGCACCTTTCACTCCACACATACAACAGGTTTGAGGGATGTACTTATATTCGTTGAAATCTTAGCCAATAAACGGCTTAAAGCCGCTTTATGTGTTAAAATTACTCGTGATCACCTTGATCCTACCATAATAATAATAATAATAATAATAATAATAATAATAATAATAATAATCGATGTTTAGAACCGATATTTATTTTACTTATCAATATTTTTAGCCTGCCTCTCTTCTTACTTAATTTTTCTAATCTCGTTTCTCTACCCCTTTTACCTGTGATACTGATCCATGAACACTTTTATCTGCGTTGGTAAAATTTGGGTTCATGGAAAATTCCCATTGTAACATAGAAAACAAGTGATTCAGCGAAGAGACACTTGTTCCACTTGTCATTCTAAATCACATCTGTTTTGCAACGTTAGATTCTATATTATCAAATTTCACACAATATTGAGTAACGTTTTTATTTTATCCGATTTGCCTACTAATCCTATAATTACACACCGCTTCCAAATCCTATACATCCTATGAATTATTCTATATATGGCATTAATTATTTTGCCACTTGACATTTAAATATGATTATAATCACAAAGATTTTAATTGTGTTTCATACTATTATTATTATTTTATGCATTCACACCTATGATTCAATTCCCTCACCGGATATAACTTATTAAAAAAGCCATATATATATATATATATATATATATATATATGATTGTACAGCTTGATGATAAATTCGTTGTTGGAAAGAGTCTCTTCGCTGAATCACCAATTGTTTTGATGTTCTAAATATTTGGATTCTTTATGCTCTGTTGTCACACCATATAAGTATGTCTGACAAATATGTGTGTTCTGAGAATCCTTGAAATGTGGTGGGCAAATATATTACACATTTCAGAGAAATTATGTCTTCTTATTGTTTTATCTAAATTCATAAAGGCTTCATAATGGCTTTAAGTCATGAAGTAGTCCTTAAACTCTCTCGTGCATTTAGTCACAAGGACTGGTCTCTTCTCTTCATGTTAAGACAAGTCGGTTTATCAAGCAGCACAGAAATGAATACGTCACCTAGTCATTGCTATTGTGGAGATGAGTACCTCGATTGCACCATGGATTGATTTGTAGACCAGGCTCATAAATACTTTGTTGAATAAGAAGGAAAATGAGAATGGTAATAGAATATCAAGTGGTTTCAGTACACTTCTCTTCATTTTGCAAGTCCCATAAAGTGTTATATGATATCTTATCAGACTTCTTAGAGTGTTAGGTTAACATATCCTAATATAGTTGCAGCATCGAAAACTCAGAAAATTTTACCAGGCATCTGTGTTTTTGCTAGAAAGCTATATTTTCAAGGGTTAGTTTGTAGCTATTTGTTTTGGTCAAGTAGGAGAACCATTGAAAACCAGAAGTGTAGAACTGGACATTTATTTCATCAGTCTAGTTTTGGACTCATCGGCAGTACGCACTCACTGTGATTCGAGCCCATCACCTTAAGGTTACAAGGCAAACTCGTAGACCAACAATCCACTGGGACCAGACTCAACGGCCAGCTGGTGAATTATGACTTCTGTCAATTGGTGATTTTATTGCGACTGGCACCAGCCAATGTCATCGCTGGTGAATATTTTTCCTCATTCCCGACCGGATTCATCGTACTGGTCACAACTTCTCACTGGAACACCAAGTGGCTTCATCATGTAGTAACCTAGATGTTAGATAACAATGATGCGAGTTTATATGAAATCAGAACAAGGGAAAACAAGTGAAACTGCATTATATCAATGATGGAAGCGGTTAAAACAGACGATTACTTAATCGAATAAAAGCAAAAGTTCACTGCGCAAAAAAGACTGATATCTACTTCCTAATGGATGCATAGATAGGATTGCAAGCGCTTATTGATTTGCTGTTGGCATGGGACTCATATCCATCTGAGTCATTTCGTCTAAATTTTATTGTACAGACGTTTTCGGTTGAAAGTTATCATTAGACCTAATCTTTTATATTTTCCAAATCAGTTATTTTGTCTTTATACTTATACTACTGTTTATTGTTTTAGTAGCTAATGTTTTACTTACAATATTTTAGATTGTTACGTTAAAATGATCCTCAGATAGAAATGTAAGTGTAAATTTTTCATGTAATTTCGTGCATACTTAGTTGTAATGCGCTAATAAAGCTTTATTTGTTGCCTAGAATACCTATGATAGTCTTGAATACGCAGACTTGTACTGTTATAATGCGGAATTATTGAAAGGTGAAGAGGTCACATAGTTAGGCTACGAAATTCAATTATTTTCTTCTGAGTAGCTAGTCTGAAACGCTGATAACTATGTCATTAGACAGAACCGCTAACCTACCTTTAAATGTACTGAAATCATGATACGCTTACCCAGATGTTAAATGATGAGTCAATATATTGTCTAGCATCGTTACATCCGTCACCCACATACATTTTCCTTTTTCTTTGAAGTGCATTTCGAATCACTTGTAGATTATGAGTATTAAATTGTGCCAGTAACATCATCATTAATCCATCAGCCAACCCATAGCTAAAGCCTTAGCCTTCGCAGTCATCTACAAGGCGAAAAATAATTTGCTCACATCATCACGTATCTACCTTACTTGTATTGCTGAACATTTTTCCATAGAAATAGAAAAGCCAGATCTCTGTATGCAGAAAAAGCTTGTTCGTCACCACTCTCCCAAATCCCATCGTCCTGATTCCTCTATGTCAAAGTATGGTAGTCCCCATTTAGAGTTTGGCTCTACTTATTTTTCGTTTTAATTATTCACTTTGTCTACCCTTCCCTTAATACGTTAATTGTTACTATCACTATTCTCACTTTGAATTGGCCCCGGTATAATTTCGCTTGTCCCACATGCCATTCTAAATCCTTAAATTCGCTTTATAATGTTGAATTCTATCTTATCAAATTTCACACTGTGGTATGTAACGTTTTTATTTGCCTACTAACTTTATAAATTTAAACTCACTTCCAGCATCTGTACATACTATGAATTATTCTATATATGACATTATTTGTTTTGACACTTGCCACTTGATATTTAACTATGATAATAATCGCAGAAATTTTAATTGCATCCCATACTACCATTATTATTTTGTAAGTATTCACACCTTTGATTAAATTTCCTCACGGGATATAATTTATTGATATAAAATACATATAGGATTGTATAGCTTGACAATAAGTTCATTGAAAAGAGTCTCTTCATTAAATAGTGTATTCTTAATTTTACAGTGCTAATTATTCAATCATAACATAGTTTAACATAAATTCTTTTACAATTTTTATTTACAGACTGTTCATTTCCAACTCAATTTTGCTTTTTCAATGCTTTCATACAACACTAACTGAATAAAATGAAGATGGGGTACAACATGAGTCACTGAGTGTCTGTAAATATTCTACAACCCAACAGGTATTTCGCGAATAAGTGATCAATCAGTCTATTCATTGGCCAGAACTTAGACGCTCTCGGTTATTCAGATCGCAGAGATCTGGGCCTACCTCTGGTTTAAGAAGACTAAGCTTAGTACGTAGAATACGAAGCACTGTAACCGATGCAGAACAACAGGAAACAGTTGGGCAACACGATTGTGTTTATTCTTCAAGCGACAACGAAAAGGATTTACACTGGTTAATGAATGCTAAAGTCTGTATATAAACTTTAATAGTAATATACAACAGTAATTCCGATCAAATTTCTCCAGTCTTCTGCCAATCAGTACACAATTAAGCCTTCTCGTTTCACGCCAAATGAAGACCAGTTCGAATAAACAAACTATTCAATGTTCAGCAACATTGACAGATGCATTTCTCCCTATCTAAAGAGAGAAACTTGATGCATACTTGGACAATGGTCATTCTCTTCCAATGCTCCCTGGGAAATGCAAGTACATCTAGATG